CCCTTCTTAGTCAGAAATTGTCCGACAGCAGAATATCTTCTCATCAGGGAAAACGATCGATAAATGAAGATCATTACGAAATCTAGACAACGTCTCTTGTGAGCTTTGCTTTTCCTTCAATTTGTTCGGAACGGTTAGAAGGCACGCATTTTCATGCCTGTAAATCATCCCGTTAAGGAATGCGCTAACAAAACGTCTCGAAAGAAACTCGACAGCAACAGAGACCAAACGACGAATTGAGCGAGCTAGATTTCAGAACTTCTTCACATGTATCTTAGACACAGCTCGTTAAGGCACAACCCAGGCAGAGGTCGTGTGAACGCTTCTCTTCGGTCTGTAGTATAGACCCCTAGAGGACAATCACAAATGTGGCGTTCCCGTGCACGGAAACCAACCGACAAGAGCGCTTGGGCCTTGCAAAGTAAGCTGCAAGCTGCAGATTTTTTCTCTTATCAGGCTGTTGTCTGGCGCTCTCTCATCTGTAGCGCTCTCTCGCCTCATACTCTCCTCTCCGCGCTTAGTCTCTCATTCCCTTAGCACAGCCGATTAGGAAGGTGAGTGAGCCCTTAACCTAAGCGTTTTCGACGGATTCTTTTCCTTTTTTCTTTACTGCCGGCCCACTTCGCACCAATACATTCGCATTCGTGTGCAAGAGCCACACCAATGTGATCCTGGGGCATGCCTTTAAGTCAAAGAGGCATTCTTTACGCCCAGGACTACTGACTCTGAAGATGAGCCTATTGGACTTCGCAGTGATGGTAGATGAATGGTTCACAGAGTCTCTGAATCGTCTTGCAATTTAACACAGCAGCTCATGATGACTGTTTCGCAGAGTTAAAGGATTGTCCATTGGAATTGATACATTTTATGCGACCAAATAAAGAATGGAACACTATATTATCAAAATAAATATCTAGAATGCCCTTTAAAGCTCCTAAAGTTCAAAACTGGAATTTGTTCGAAGCATGTACTTGTTACCGTAATTTTTGCCCACCCTGTACACTGCACTCCCTTCGTTTTAGCTTAATTTCATAAGCGACGCCAACTGTAAAACCGACGTGGATGCACAAAGAAGATGTCTAGTATACTGAGAGATGTATTGCCAGGAACATATTACCATACTAGACTGATCGTTTTACAGATGTCCTACCAGTGCCCGGGGTCCTACCTTTGGAAGCGGTTAGTTTCTCGTATCACCTTAATCTTCAGGCACGAAGGCAATAAGCTGTAGAGTGACTGTTACTGTACTAGCCTTTTTTTTTTTTGATTTTTTTTTTTTTTTTTTTTTTTTGGGCTTGAGGGATCGAAGAGGACGTAATCATGATCACAAGCACGCTTCTGGATTACTCGCGGCGCCGGGTGAACCAACATTGCATAATACCAGAGCAAACCAACAAAGTCACTTTGCCGATGCGTGCACATCATAAATTTCTTCTTGCGCACAAGAGCGTAATAGATAACATACTACTCCCCGCGCAAATATTTCTTAGGTGTCCCCCCATAAGCAGAAGCAGCCCCTCCTTCAATGCCCTCACGGTCTTCAGAATATGACGTCATCTGCCGTCGCCGTCAAGCTCAACGAGGCTTACCGTAGTCGCTCCGGCCTGAAGCTGCAACATAATTTCTTCAATCGGTTAAGCGGTGAATAGCTTCCCAGAGACACTAGCTGTGACTGTGCAAGACCGCTTTTGACCAGCGTTTCAGGGACGTCGTAATGGTCTATGGTACCTCGACGACTCGTTGAGCTCGTACCGTGAACCATGTTTCCGTGGGAAAATCTTCTGATGTCGTCAGTGTAGAAGGCTGTCATGTAATTTGATAGACTTGAATGTGCTCTTTAATATGCAATTGGGCTCATTTGATTTGGTTCGCAGTTTGTGATTAATTGCCTTTTAAATGTGGACGGAAGTGATTCTTTTTTTGCCCCCTCCCCCTGTACACTGCATATATGACCAAAAAGATCCCCCCGCCGCTAAGGTCCCACGACTACTTTGCTCCTACCTCCAAGTACCCACACGGACCCCCTATTCGCTGAGGAGCCCCAGGGGTAGATGGAGTACCGTGGTCTGAGTCACAGGCTAAACGAACCACCCCTTCCCTTCAATGCATTCATTACTTGCAAAAGCCCACCTTGAAGTATATGAAATGTCAGTGGATTTCCAATTAGGTAAACCTTTCAAAGATTTTTAAAAGGCACTAAAAGTGAATGGCAAATACGCAACACAGCTGTTCGAAAAGCACAATGTTCAGATCTAAGTCACGAATGAGGCAGATCATTTTGCCAGAGGAGGGAAGAAACACCAGGGACAACACAGATTGTTCACATCATTCGTCAGAGTCCCTTGCGCTACCCAAGGCTTAGTCCCAAGCACAGCAATTGGCTCACTCACTTAAATGTCACCCTCTCAACGACATGAGCGCCCCAAAAAGATGTTGCCTTACAAGTACAGTACCAGTATAAAGTTAGCTCAGTTCAAACTCATCGCAGACTACGACTTTAAAGAATTTCAGACTACGACTTTAACCCTTTGACGACCGCCGTTGTGCGTGCATTGCTTCACTTCTTTTTAAATTTTTTCATCAATATCCATTAACACTCCAACAATTTCACTTATTAGTAATAGCATATTGTTTTGCGCTTCCGATAATGTATACGGGTAGTTTTGAAACACTCAAAAATGCCAAATAAATGACGAAAAACGAGTCGCCTCCGAGTGAAAGTGTGGCCCACCGGCGGGCCACACGGTCGTCAAAGGGTGTATGAAGCAAAAGAAAGCTTCAATTCCGGTAGACTTTTTATATACTCCTACTTCCTCAAGTTCTTCGAAAACATAGTAAAAAAAATGCTGTCTGCGAAATGCTAAGTCTGAATCTCTATGACTGATATTTTCAAGGTTAATCTGTAATGACATTATAACTAAATATTTTGATTCATACGTTTTTTTTTCACACAAAAGATGCCGTTTTACTCACCATCGAGATCTTTGAAACCATATTCACAGGCTAGGTCGTAATTCATGAGGATTTTCCCAGATTTCTTGATGACTTTTTTATCAGACGCTAGAGCCACGACTGCTTTACCAGTGAACTCAGGAGATTCGCTCTGCTTGAAAGATTTGTCGATAGCCTCCTGAAAATTAGAGCATTCAATGTGCAGGTGACTCCCCCTCAGCTTGAATAGGCAAACAATTTCACTAAAGAAAAACGAAGCCGTAAGCCGATTTAGTATCCGGAAACTTACATTATAAATAATGCAGCATGTATCTTACGCAAGAGATTGCAACATATTCAAGATAGAAATTTGAATGAAGCGATTAGGAGCCAGAGACAGTTTCATACCATTTTCGC